TTTGGGGGCGCTGGGCGGATCTTTGCACCCTGGCGGCGCATATGCTACAGACGGCCCTGCCTGCATCTAAACATAAAAGGGTAAAGGGCCATTAGATCCAGTTGTGGACAACTCTGGGGTTGCAGTGCTCATCTCGCTTTATTGGCTGAGGGAGCCAGCATACAGCTTCCAAGTCATGTGGCCAGCATGACTAAGCCGCTTCTGGCGAACCAGAGCAGCGCACAGAAATGCCGTTTACCTTCCCGCCGGAGCGGTACCTATTTATCTACTTGCACTTTGACGTGCTTTCAAACTGCTAGTTTGGCCGGAGCAGGGACTGAGCAACGGGAGCTCACCCTGTCGCGGGGATTCGAACCGCCGACCTTCTGATCAGCAAGCCCTAGGCTCTGTGGTTTAACCCACAGCACCACCCGCGTCCCGCATCTAAACATAGATCTGCACAAAGGCGGTGTCTAGTTAAGGGAAGCACCACTACACTATAAAACCTGTTCATATTTTATGTGCTGTGATTTGTAATGGAAATAGTGGGTATTTGGGGAAGAAGCACTTGGGGAATGTCTGAACTAGGTTAAAAATGTCAATAGTTACATTTTCTGCATCACGAAACATTTCACTTTATCCATCTTCAGCTATATTTATTTACTCTTGGCTTCTGAGCCCCTTCTGCTCTCAACACTGATGAATATTTCGGGATGCGAGAAGGGGGCTTTTCAATGGTGGCACCCAAGTTGTAGGATAATTTTCTCCATCTAGGCCCTTTATTACCCACTGTAAGAGAGCAGTGAAGCAACTTTTTCAGCTGGAGACTTTGAGTGGTTTGCAGTTCATGTTTTTACTTCTGTTTTTCACTGCTGCTTTGACTGTTTTATTGTCTGCTATCAGTGATGTTACTGCATTTCAAAATGGATTTTATTTATATTCACATACTGTCTTGTTTTCAAGTTGCAGTAAGGCACCTTGAATGTGTGCTGCATAAAAAGGCGAGTATACATTTAAATAGACATAAATGAACGTCTGTTCCTTCACTGCAGTCATTTGTATTTTTAAGGCGTCTGCAAAGGCATCGCTCAGGGGATGGTCTTCGTGGTTTGCACAATGACTCAGATGTGCAAGTCTCTTTATGTTCAATGGGCTTTACTCCCAGATAAGTGCTGTTATGGCTGCCACCCTAAACACACTTCTTGGGAAGTAAAACACCTTGAACATAGTGGTACTTACTTCCACGTGCATAGATGAGAGCTCTCACTTCAAATATCTGTCCAATCTTCCCTCCTCAGTGACACATCCTCTATTAGAGGGTCCATTGTCAACCTGTGTCAGGGACTGGCTGGATAAGGAAGAATGGTAGAAGCTGCCCACCCAAGAGCCCCCCAGGGAGGGCTCCGAAGACAGTGACTTAGATCCCAGATCTTGGAGGTGGGACACTGAAGAACAGTCTGCAAGCCTTTTTAATTAGGAATTTTAGGTGCCAAAATATCAAGGGAGCACAAAAGACTGTTCATGTACGCGACGACAGCAGCCCAGATACTCTTAACCCAAAGATGGAAGGAAGATGAAATACCTACAAGAGAAGAATGGACAACAAAATTGATGGACTATGCTGAGATGGCTAAAATGACCAGAAAAATCAGGAACCAGGATGATAAAAAAATTAACAAGGACTGGGGAAATTTTGTAATTTACTGAGAGAACACTGTAAACAGTTAAAAACACTAGCAGGATTGAAATAACACTTGCAATGTGAAAAGAACTATAGATATAAATAGAGTTTTATGGATAAATAGAGGACGATATACTATGCAGTGGAAAATGGCTACAGTGGTACCTCGGGTTAAGTACTTAATTTGTTCCGGAGGTCTGTTCTTAACCTGAAACTGTTCTTAACCTGAAGCACCACTTTAGCTAATGGGGCCTCCTGCTGCTGCCGCGCCGCCACCACCCGATTTCTGTTCTCATCCTGAAGCAAAGTTCTTAACCCGAGGTAATATTTTTGGGTTAGCGGAGTCTGTAACCTGAAGCGTCTGTAACCTGAAGTGTATGTAACCTGAGGTACCACTGTATTAGTGGACTAATCATAGCCACTGGAGAGACCTGTCAGGAATAAGCATGGACCAATCGTATCAAATAGTATGGGAAACAGCCTTTTTAGAAAAACCTACCAATAAACTGAAACTGACACAGGGACAAATAGAAGAAGACGCCTTCACCCCGGTATGGCTCCACTTTATCACATACACAGCCCAACAAGACAATGACAAGAATCCGCCAACAACATACGAATCAATATGGCTAAACTGATCCAAACACACACACACCCCACTCACACACGAAAACAAAGTTCACCACAGCCAATCACAAACAAACAACCACACCCTAGGCCAACCCTAGCATCTCTCACCACCAAAGGAATACAAGCGAATAGTAAAGAGAACCCGCATAAGCGACGCTGACACAAAACCCCACACATACATTAAGTAGAATAGAAACATCGCCACCACCGACCCCAGCCCCAGTCACCATGCCCTCTTCCACCTCTTCCCCCCTTTTCTTCCTAATATAACACTAATGCCTCAACCAATGAAGCTGATCTGTAGAAAATGTAACTTGAAAAAAGAGATATTGCACATACTTTTGTAAACCAAGAAATCTTTAATACAAAATATGTTGGGGAAAAACTATAGTATCTTCCAAATTGTCCAAATAAAGGTCTCCATTCTTCCATAAAAATTCATCCGTTGATCTCTTCATTTGCTATCGCCTTTGCCTCCCCCCACAAATATTTTCTGAGAGTTCCCCCAAACCCTCCTAAGCAAATGTTGGGGTTTGCACACAAGTGAGGAGAGGAAATCTAGTTGCACTAGTGCTAACCCTTGCAACAGCACAACTATTTACAAGAATACCAGCCACTACCTTGGCTCACAGAGCTCTCCAACCTGCGATTACCCAATGAGCTTCTGCTGAGGGCCTCTCCTGAGTTATCTTCCTGTCACACTGAACTATTGGGGAAGGTTTGACTCATCGGTGTTCAAGCCTCTATAGCATATCAATATCCTTAGGGGAGTGACACAGTGCGAGGCCTTTGTCCATTTCTGGATTGATCATCAAGACTCCACTGCCATAAAGCAGCTAGAGATCTCCATTAATCTTCTGCACCAATAGTTTTATCTTTCATGAAGTAAAATTGATTCCCTTATCTCAGCTGGTGAAGACGGAAGAACAAATGTCTGCCTTGACTCACAGCCCAGACAAAGCCTGCGAAAGGTTTTTTTAAGTAACCAAAATAACAACTTTTAGCTATGGCGGCACGCTGTGTTGCCTCGGCTTTTTTCTTGGAGTGCGCATTTTTTGGTAATTCAGAATGTCTGAATAGACTGAAAGTGATTTTAAAAACATACACCAGAAAAACCTGAATGATTAGGAAATGGCTTAGCTTGAGACTCCCTGACATTAGGGCTTCTATATGTCTGGGATTTCCCAGACATATTCAGGATTTGTCTGTCGCAAATAGCATCCGGGCCAGACTGGTGGGCCTGTTTTAGAAATACCTAGGCTGCACCCTGCTGGCTATTCTTGTCCTAGTCACGACACCACACTTGTTTTCATTTTTTTAAAAAGGGGGCTATGAGTCTAAGGTTACTTGAAAAACTTCCCCTTTAGCATTTCCCGTATTGGAATTCTTGACATTAAAAAATGTTCAAAGTACAGATTATGTATTGAATTATTCATCAAGTAACATTTCTACAAGATGAAAGGAGAAGTCCTTTTATTTTATTTTTCCCTGGCGATGTCAAACATCGAAGTGACAGCATGCCCAATTATTAGTGCAAGAAAACATCCCAGATTATAGGTAAGAATCAATGAGCAGGGGTAGCTGTTTTAAAATCCTATTAGTTTAATGAATCACACTTAAGAAGCCCCTAATAATTGTATTATAAAAAAGCAGTCGGAGCAATGTAAAACCACCCATCGTATCATATTCAGTGTGTCAACTTTATTGCTGCAGTTACTGGAATTTAATAAGAGAAATGCGACACATAGAGGAATTAATTGAGATAAAAGAGAAGAGTCGGTTAAGTTAATAATGTGCTGCATTAGGTAAGAAGCCGCAATTGTTCATCTGAATGCATAAGAACACCTGTTGGTCTCATTTCCACAAATAATTGTTATGTTAATTGAATAATGTAACCCCAAATATCAATTTGCAAATCGTTCTCATATCGGAAAGGTTGAGTTGGCAAGTAATGTTAGACAAAGGCAACGGTTTCTTTTCCGCTGGTCTGAGCCTCTTCATAAAGGGTTCACCTTTACTTGCATTATTAATCCCCACAATCAATGCACTACACCTTTACTGGGACTTCTTTTATCATTCCTTCCAATAGCAAACTCAAGTCATGAATGCTGTTAGGCTTATGGGTCAAAAAGGGCCACAGAGAAAAAACAGGGAAGGATCAGCATGTTTGCAGTGAACCCTGGCGTGTTCACAGAAGGAGCATCCCATTATCATGCCCTCCAACATTTCTCCGATGAAAATAGGGACATCCTATTCTGACGGTATGGGACGCGGGTCGTGCTGTGGGTTAAACCACAGAGCCTAGGACTTGCCGATCAGAAGGTCGGCGGTTCAAATCCCCGCGACGGGGTGAGCTCCCGTTGCTCGGTCCCTGCTCCTGCCAGCCTAGCAGTTCGAAAGCACATCAAAGTGCAAGTAGATAAATAGGTACCGCTACGGCGGGAAGGTAAACGGCGTTTCCGTGCACTGCTCAGGTTCGCCAGAAGAGGCTTAGTCATGCTGGCCACATGACCCAGAAGCTGTATGCCGGCTCCCTCGGCCAATAAAGTGAGATGAGCGCCACAACCCCAGAGTCGGTCACAACTGGACCTAATGGTCAGGGGTCCCTTTACCTTTACTTATTCTGACGGTAGGAAGGACTGTGTCTCATGGTGATGGGCCACAGCTCAGTAGTATACCACATGCTTTGCATGGAAAAGGTCTCAAATGACGTCCTGGGCATCTCTAGGTAGGGTTGCAAAAGACCCCTGTCTGAAACCCTTGAGAGCAACTGCTCTGTCAGTGTAAACAGTCCTGAGCTGGAGGGACTCAGTAATAAGGTTGTTTCCTACGGATCAAGCCAGGTATAGCCTGAGTGCATTGCTCAGGATGACTCAGCATAACAGCAACCTGAGTCCATGACCTATGAGAGAGCTCAAGCAACTTCAGACTTCATAGCCACATGTAAGGTGGTGTCAGGCTTCGGGGAATCAGTTTCCTCCCCCGTGGCTGTAAATAAGATGAAACAAAAGGAACATCTTACTAGTTAGATTCTTTAATAATCACAGCGAGAGACAAAAGAACACATTTCCTAGAAATGGGGGTGCTCCCAATTAAGGATTACACCCTCTTCCATCCCTATTAATCCACGTCCCTCCTACATTTTGTAATCTGAGGTTGTCCCCTCTGTGCTTTCTGTTCTGACATTTTCTGAACTCTTCTTGACCTTGGGGGAGAGCAGAGGAATGCTGTTCAGAGATTGAGAATCTGTTAACTCTCTCTCTTCCAGTGCTTCTTCTCCTAGCTGTTCCCCATCCAGTATTCCCCAGCTTCTGCCTTCTGAACTATATCCCTCTGCAAACCGCTGTTCCAAATCTATACTGTCCTCCTGCTCCTGGGAAGATTCAGGATCGGGGGGGGGGCTTCCACCATTCCTCCTCAGTGCAGCCCTCCTCAGCACGGTCCCTGACAGGTGGACAAGTATCAGCTTACATTTCTGACATGTTCCAGAAATGAGGCCCTCAGTCAGAGGTTGCTTTAGCAAGATGGACATACCTCCATGGTCTTTGTCCCATCATGTGAGTAGCTTGGTTCCTCTCTGAAGCCACGGTTATGAAGGTAAGTAGGCTATTTTCAGACTTTCTTGGCCAACAAGAGGTCTTATACCGTTGATGTACGCAAGCCTCAACTTTCTAACTACTGCACAAGTTCCAGAAAGCTACTTCACAACCTTGGGTGAGCACAGACTAGTGCGCCTAAAGCACAAAAAGATTAATTTTTAGCAATGCACATTTTAAAAGTCATAAATATGATAAAACGTGTAGAATTAGCATAACCAAGACAAGAAATGCCACATAATTGGCCGCCAGATTTTATCAGTCTTTCGCTCAACGATCCCCATCTTCCATTTGCTTCATTGACTTTTAATAACATTTGCCATTCTTCCCGAAATGAAATCATGTTAGCATGACAAACATTTGAAAAGAAATCTGTTCGCTGAATTATGAGCGTGATTCCTGGGGAGCGTTGCTGCGCTCCTTTCAATAGAGCCTCATTTTTAGCAATGAGGCGGTTGCGGTGATAATTTGAGAAAGTTCCAGTGTTAAATTTGTTGAAATCTTTAGAAGCCAAGAACCAAGTTTCAGGCAAGTACTCTTTCGTGAGAGAACCTCAGCAAAGATTTAACATGAAAAAACATGCAGCAAAGCAAAGTGTGGGAATATAGACTGTTAAACTTTAACATGGGCCATTTCCAGTGAATTCCAAAGTATCCCACTTTAAAATCTCCTCCCAGAGTTTCCTATTTCCCTAGCATACAAATAGACCACATGTTTGGTAAGTTTTAAAAAATGGTTTACTTACAAATTCTCCAAAGGTCAGATTCATGTGCTTTTCCATGCAGCCGTCAGAAAAGGTACACAGGCAGTGAAATGATGCTTGATTACAAAATGGTAAAAGTTCCTAATAGGAAAACAATAGTTTCAGACTCCATTCTTGCCTTAAACAGAAGAGGCTGGTTAAAGCCATGAAGCTGGAGAGAGCAGCTCGGGCTCCTCATGCACCATAGTTCACATGTAGACTGAGGGAACAAAGGTTTAGTTACCTATTTCTTCCCAAGGTGAGGGGAAGTGACAGGCAGGGCAACTTACTCTATGGCATGGGTAGGCAAACTAAGGCCCGGGGGCCGGATCTGGCCCAAGCGCCTTCTAAATCCAGCCCGCAGACGGTCTGGGAATCAGTGTGTTGTTACATGAGTAGAATGTGTGCTTTTATTTAAAATGCATCTCTGGGTTATATGTGGGGCATCGGAATTCGTTCATTTATTTTTTTTCCAAAATATAGTCTGAGGGACAGTGGAGCGGCCCCCTGCTGAAAAAGTTTGCTGACCTCTGCTCTATGGCATAAACCCTTCCATGCTTTAATTACAGTCATACCTCATGTTACGTCCGCTTCATGTTACGTTCTTTCAGGTTACGTCCCGTGGCGACCCGGAAGTACCAAAAAGGGTTACTTCCAGGTTTCGCTGCTCGCGCATGTGCAGAAGCGGCGAGTCGCAACCCACACATGCGCAGACGGCGCCACTGCGGGCTACGCTCTTTTCATGTTGCGAACGGGCCTCCGGAGCGGATCCCGTTCGCAACCAGAGGTACCACTGTAGACTCAAGTATGCTGGTTATATGTGGGTGGTTTAGCCTACAAAATTTCCGGAGGTCTGAAAGGCAAGAAATGCAAAAGAAAGAGAGAAGCAAGAGCAAAGGGAAAAGAGGTGCCATTTCTGGAGGACAAGGGGACACCCCCGCTCCGTGTTTCAGGCCGCAGGTTATGTTCAGAAGCACTTCACTCCTCAGTCAACTCACTTGGTAAAGCCCCAAAGGGGATACACATTTGAAGCATGATTATACCACTGAAAGCAGTTGTGGCTTCTCCCAAAGAATCTTGGGAGCAATCATTTGTCAAGAGTTCTAAGAGTTGCTAGGAGATGCCTGTTCACACAGCTGCAATTTCCAGAGTTCCTTGGGAAAGAAGGACTGACTGTTCAACCACTCTGGAAACTCTACCTCTGTGAGGGTCTCCTAAGAACTCTCAGCACCCTTCACAAATGACGGTTCCCAGAATTCATTGGGGGAAGCCATGACAGTTTAAAGTGGTATGATAGTGCTTTAAACGTATTCTGCCGATGGGATCTCAGATTTGAATCCGCCATGTAAGGGAGCCACTTTAAACTAAAATGTACTAATTTGATAACTGTATAATTTGGGAATTAATTGTTATTGTTATAATTTAGCTATTATTTGGGGTATATTGGAAAACTAATTTTAAAAAATGCTTCTGATCTTTACACACACACACACACAAAAAAACCCACAGCCTAATACACCCACCGCACTGCAAGCTCATGGATTTAGGAGAGAAGTATAGATTATTTTACAAAAGAGCCCTAGGCCTACGTATAGTAAAATACCGTATTTTTCGCTCTATAAGACGCACCAGACCACAAGACGCACCTAGTTTTTGGAGGAGGAAAACAAGAAAAAAAATATTCTGAATCTCAGAAGCCAGAACAGCAAGAGGGATCGCTGCGCAGTGAAAGCAGCAATCCCTCTTGCTGTTCTGGCTTCTGGGATAGCTGCGCAGCCTGCATTCGCTCCATAAGGCGCACACACAATCCCCCTTACTTTTTAGGAGGGGAAAAGCGAGTCTTATAGAGCAAAAAATACGGTAATTAAGAGCCTGTTCACTTCTTAACGAGGCCGCTGTGCTAATGTATTTTCCCATTAGCTCCTCCTCTCTCTCTGTGATGGCCTGGGACTTGGGCTCAGACTTGGAACCAGAGGAGTCTCAGTCTGCACCACATCCTTTGCCTCAGGCATCATTTGAACCAAGTCTGGGGCCTGATCCTGAAGAGTCCCAGTCTGCACAGGTTCCCCTGCAACAAACACCAGCTGGGCCGAGTCAGAGGCCTTAGCCTGCCCTGGCTCCAGATGCGCAGATTACCTCGTTGCCTTCAGCTGGGTCATCACTTACAGCTGCTTCACTACCAATTGGGTCAGGGGAGGCTGAGGTGGCCCCTGGGTCTAATAACCCACCGATGTCTCCCGAGCTGCAGAGACTAAGGTCTGAGAAGGAGGGACCTGAGTACTCGCAGGAGGAGTGCTCGCCTTCGGGCGAAACAGGGAGGTGAGTTGCCGAGGGTTCAGGACCGGCTGCTACCCGGACAAAGATAAAAGGCTGTCAGACCCCGCCCCAGGTTTGCTGGAGCAACATTGCTGTATGCTAGATCCTGCCTGAGATCCTGTACCTGTCCTTGCCTGGTTCCCTGCCTTGGTCATGTTGGACTGACTCCCCGGAGAACATCCGGATTCAGGACCGGTCCTGGACCGCGTTTCACGGGTTACTCCCGGGCCCAGCACACTCTCTCTCCCCATTGATCCAGTGGTAGAGGAAGGGGGGTGCAGTGGGGGCAGTCTCCCCCAGGTGTCATCCCAGCTGGCTTGGCCACTTACGCTGTAGTAGAGTAAATAACTGTTTATATCCATGACAGACTTGCAGTCGAACATAATTAACGTCAGTCCAAAACACTAGTAAAAAAATAAATGCTTGCACTGTATGAACTGCATTCTCGACAGTAACTGAAGTAGGTTTATCTTTTCCTCTAAATGAAAACTTACTGGCTGGGGAGAGGGAGGGGAGGAGGGAGAACTTCCCGTAATTATTTACAACTGCAGCATCATTAAATAATTAGGCAATCCATAATAAATGTGCTGCTTTGATACCTTTTTTATTACAGGAGGAAAGCCAAGTGAATGCATATTCAGCCTCAGCTTAGCTCCAAGAAATCGTAAAAGGCTTTCCAAAGCATGTGAAACTGTTCTGTCTTTTTATTTAGCCTTTCAGGGCACTTAGCATTTTCCTTGAGCTTTCATTGGTTCAGCGTTCCCCTTACACACACATTTCTGCTTTTGTGTGCTTTATGGAATTATGCAGTCAGAGGGTGTTCTAAGTAGTAAATGAGCATTCGCACCTCTAAATGCATGGCTCATTCATTAGCACAGTTACTGACCTTGCTATAATTAAATGAATGGCACATTTAATCTAATATGCTCCAAACAGCGATATATAGGGGGATGCACCCGGCGGTGTTACGACATCCATTTGGCCGGAATAAACAAACGCTGAACAACGGACTCAACAGCCTGATTCAAGCATAATTCTCTCAATGTGGTTTCTGAATCACAGGAAGCGTCTACATGCACTCAGCCGAGTCCCCAATGCATGGGCAGTGTGAAGGCAGGTGCAACTTGATGGAGCGTCTCCACCCCCATCATTCAGCCTGGATACTGAGGTCCGGCTTCAAGAGTCTTCTGGCAGTTCCCTCACTCCGAGAAGTGAAGTTACAGGGAACCAAGCAGAAGGCCTTCTTAACAGTGGTGCCCAGCCTGTGGAACGCCCTCCCATTACATGTCAAGGAGAAAAAGAACTACACAACCTTTAGAAGACATCTGAAGGCAGCCCTGTATTGGGAAGTTTTTAATGTTTGATGTTTTGTTATGTTTTTATAAGTGTTGGAAGCCGCCCAGAGTGACTGGGGCAACCTAGCCAGATGAGTGGGGGTAGGGATATTATTATTATTATTATTATTATTATTATTATTATTAATGGTTAAAAGGTATAATGGTAAAGGACCCCGGATGGTTAAATCCAGTCAAAGGTGACTATGGGGTTGCGGCACTCATCTCGCTTGCAGGCTGAGAGAGCCGGCATTTGTCCACAGACAGCTTTCCTGGGTCATGTTCCCAGCATGACTAAACTGCTTCTGGCGCAACAGAACACCATGACGGAAACCAGAGCGCACGGAAATGCTGTTTACCTTCCCGCCGCAGCGGTGCCTGTTTATCTACTTAGACTGGCGTGCTTTCGAACTGCTAGGTTGGCAGGAGCTGGGACCGAGCAACAGGAGCTCACCCCGTCGCAGGGATTCGAACTGCCAACCTTCTGATTGGCAAGCCCAAGAGGCTCTGTGGTTTAAACCACAGTGCCACCCGTGTCCCTAATAATAATGGACACAATGGTGCATATTACCTTGCATGGGTAAGGTAGCTCGTGTGGCGCTGGGATGAAAGCACCTCAGCTTCCACGATGAGAGCTGCAGTTTCACCTGGCATCTTACCGGTTGGGGCCAACACAGCTTTTTTAAACATCATGGAATGTTGCCAAACTGTGTTGTTTGGCTGGCAATACACCAAGATGTTGAAAACCCAACATCAGCCAGCCCTAGTGGATATCCCTGGTGTGGAATCTGGCAAAGGGTTTGCGGAATGTGGAAAAATATTGCAGTGCAGCTATTTACCAGTCAGCAGAAGGCAGATCTCTGGATGAGCAGCAATAGGTTTGGAGTGAATTTTTTTTAAGCCCAATTGTTTAATTGGAATATTGTAGTTTTTTCAATTGTGTACTTACTTATTGGCATTATCCTTCTTTGTAATTATTACTCCACAGGTTATTTTAATAGCTATTTACACCGTTGGTTCATCTGACAGGTTTCCAGCTGCAATGGTGGGTTTCACACAATTGTGTGGGGAAAACGGCATACAAATAAACAAACACATTAATGGCCAATAGTAGCAGCAAGAAAGCGACTTTCCACATCTAAATTAGGCAGCAGAAAAGAGGAAAGGAGTGGGCTTTTTCTGCTGAAGGACACTTCAGTTTTGGTGCTGAAAACAAACCCCTTAGGTTGAGGATGTGCTCAAGTCTAACTCTATGTATTTTGCACCAGGTTCTACTTGGTAGATTCTGGGGTACTAGGGGGGAAAAGACACAAACTAGATCTGACAAACCTGGGTTCTTGTGCTTTGTCTGTTGTGTGTGGATTAGCAGGAAAAATGGAGAATTTATAGCAGCCATGTAGACAGTTTGTGATAGATCCAGCAGATGGCAGTCACAGAGCCAACATCTGTCTTTCGCTTTGCTGCAAACCAGGAAGGCGTTGAGAATGTTGCTATGAATCTCTAGGTATCTTGGTCCGGAGGTGTCCTCAGAGAAGGAGACAGGTTTAGTGACCTCATACCACCATATGTCCCATGGGAAAACCGTCCGTGCTCTGCCAACTATCATCAGAATATGGGCAAATCCTTTCTAAGAGGAGAATGTGCCCCAAGATTTCAGCCATCCATTCCTGAAAAGTGAATGGGAGACATGCAAGAATTCTCAACGGGGGGGGGGGGGGGACACACACAGGGGAACTTGATGTTAGATTGAATCCAGGGTAAGCAATGGCATAGCCTCCAACATTTCTCCAATGAAAATAGGGTTGTCCTATTCCATAATATGGGACACAGGTGGCGCTGTGGTCTAAACCACAGAGCCTAGGACTTGCCAATCAGAAGGTCGGCGGTTCGAATCCCCACGACGGGGTGAGCTCCCGTTGCTCGGTCCCTGCTCCTGCCAACCTAGCAGTTTGAAAGCACCTCAAAGTGCAAGTAGATAAATAGGTACCGCTCTGGCGGGAAGGTAAATGGCGTTTCCGTGCACTGCTCTGGTTGGCCAGAAGTGGCTTAGTCATGCTGGCCACATGACTTGGAAGCTGTACGCCGGCTCCCTCGGCCAGTAAAGCAAGATGAGCGCCGCAACCCCAGAGTCGTCCGCGACTGCACCTAATGGTCACGGGTCCCTTTACCTTTATTCCATAATACTAATAATAATAATATTTTATTTGATTTTATTTATTACTTATACTCTGCCCATCTGAATGGGCTGCCCCAACTACTCTGCATGGCTTCCAACATATAAAAATAGATGATAAACATTAGACATTTTAAAAAAACTTCCCTATACAGCACTGCCTTCAAATGTCTTCTAAAGGTTGTATAGTTACTATCTCAATGG